ACAATGTAACATGAATGAGGAAGGAAATATGAAAATGTAACCACTATATTTCCCCACAAAACTACGAATTATATACTAAAAATATATAATACTATATATAATAAAAACACAGAAAATTTCATATAACATATATACATTTACAATGCATCACGGATGTGGTGAAAAATGTAAACACTGTGTTTCTTATATGATATATATGATGGTATAAGTTTTTTAAGTAAAATGAAATGGAGAGAAAAACAAAAGGAATGGTTATAAATGCTATGGAATCAATTAATCAGTATTGTCAGTAAGAACAAACTTCTTCAGTTCTTGTTTAAATGTATATAAAGAAGGATTATGCTTTACAGTTTGTGGTAATGAATTCCAAAGTAAAGAAGCTGTATATTGAAATGTTCTCATCATAGCAGTTTTATTACATTTCGGTATGTCTAAAGTTCGGAGTGTTTCTGATCTCAGTGTCATGCTGGTTTCCGTTAATTTTGATCTTTCCGTAAATTTTATTGTATAAATATTCAGGGTGTCCAGTTTGAAATACAAGTTTTAATATTTTGTTATAGTGTGAATTGTGTTACGTACATATTTTCTATTAATTGTGTTTTGTTGCGTAGTACTAGTAATTGTGTTTCACGTGAATTCAGTAAACGTTTTCCTTTCTATTATCAATGACGATACATGTTTGTGATTTACTTCCAAAAAACTAATCATTCATGTGATTTCCTCTCCAATCTCATATCTACGGAGCCCCTTAGGCACAATTTTCAAAACTCTTTAAATTATTTCGTTTTAGATTCCCTTATTTTCAATTTGAAAATGAAAATGCTAAGACTTATATGAATAGAAAGTAGAGGTGTTCTAATGACTTGGAAAAATACCAGTTTGTCTCACATGTCCATAATTAATTCATAATTAGCTAAATTAGAAGATAATTACCAGCAGAATTCCAATGAGTGACCGATCAATAAAGGTCAAAAAGCCTTGTTTTGTTTATCCCGACGGTACATACGTAGACATTTATGATTCACAATTCCAACTTTTCCTGACTTGGGTGTAAAATGTAGTCGCATTAACCTAATGTGAATAGTTGTGCCCACGTGTAGCTATCATCTGATTCATTTTTGGTCTCGGGACGTTGGTGCCTACCAATATAGGTTTTGTCATTGTCCTGTATCGGGAACAAAAAAAACAGGCACTCTTATGCTGGTAGATTAAGACAGCTAATTGTGCGTTCAGACGACTTAAGTTAAGGCAGCTTAACAATCAACCTTTCTTCGACCCCGGTTTACTGTTTTTGGTGAGCATTCAGTCAGATGGACATAAAGGTAAAGCCAGCTTTTACATTACCAGGGAAATCATTAGGAAGTTCAGAGATCATAATACCACTTCGCATGTACAATAATGGCGGAAATTTGTTTAGAGGAATACTCAGACATGAAATGAAATATCTGGCTTAACTATTCAAGCCAGTTTTGAAGCCGCTCGAAGCAGGCGCAAGTTTCGGCAGCTGAAGCTTAACCGGTTGCGTTCAGACGACTAGACTAAAAAACGGGATTGATAAACGGTTGATAATTAAACTGCTTTAACGGTAGACGTCTGAACGTCAGACGTTTGTCTCCTTGTGACTGTCGTAAAAGATTGAGATGGAACAAACTGCTGTTCCCTCTTCAATCCTTATACCTACTGTAGAAACAACCTTAATCTCAGATGCTATCAGCTGAAGCATGAGTTTTTTCAGCTGGGACGAGAGAAGGATCTGATGCAATTTTATAATTGTATGCATATAGGGTGTATTTTGTTCATGGAATCAACAACAATTATATCATATTTGATAATTACGGTCATAGATAGGAGTTAGGCATATATAACTATTTTCCACATTACATGTTTTGGAAATCATGCTGTAATTTTCATGTTCGAAATATCGTCATCCTTTACTCATTACTTCTTTTGTCATTAATGTAGTAAGTACCAATTGTCTGTGGAGGAAGGAATTAAGAACGTATAGGATATGATAAAAGGGGTGGGATTGTTGAAACAAATACTTTAGGCCCTGCAAAATATGAAGCGACCCTTGGAGCCAATTTATTATGGGTCATTGATCTTAATAATAATACAATTATATATAAATCCTATATGATCCTCCATATCTGAACTATTATGTAATCTATTCACGTTACTTTATTTTAGAAGTATTATGAGTAGTGCTCAGCAGTTTGCTCCATCACAACCTTTTATAACAGTCACAAGGAACCGAAAGTCTGTAATTGGGTGTAGGCGATGTCATCTGTCAGGCGTAAAGTATATAGCAGCTGGATGTAATATGTGTGATGTGGTCACCACTCAGCCTCAGAAGACTGACATGGTTATGCTGCTTGTTCCTTAGTGAGTCAAATGTTTCTACCATAAGTGAATCCTTATACAAACTTAGTGAGGAGTGTCCTATTATGCCACTAGAGGAACTTCGCGTCATTGAGGGTTCTGTCAAAACAACAGAATCCCTCCATAATCCTATAAATCCATAAAACCAGTAATAATCCTTAATGGATGGTATTATATACAGATTTTATCTTTTAGTCATGGCAGCCTGTAAGTCCAACTGATAAATAACAAATATACCCTTATTGGCCAAGTTTAAATTGTATGTCCATTCTAAGAGGTAGTCATCGTATCACGAATACGGGTTTTAAGATGGTCTTATTACGAGGAAGTATGACGCATGGGGGTGTGGTTTGGACAGAGAGGTAGTATTCCTTTAAAGATCTTGTGGATGTGCAATTGGTTTATAACCTGTAAAGACCAACACGTGCTTGTATGTCAGTTGGAACTAGGGGGTGTTCTTTGGTCTTTGGACAGCTTCCAAAAAATTGTTGAAACAGGGTCTTAGGCCAAAAGTTTCTTGGATTTTTCTTTGTCTGTTGTTAACCAAGAACATTTCAAGGACGTTTAAAGACGTTTCTAAGAAGTTGATAAGCAGTTTGTTCGAAGCTGGAAACAATAATAGGTTTTCTGACCATGGTATGACATTATATCAAACCTGATATTCAAGATTATTCCACATGTAATAGTTCCACAGGCTGAAGTAAAGAACTATGTACAGGATCGGTTGAACAAGGGGATCATTCAGAAGATACACAGTCCGTGTGCTACACCAATATTACTGGTTCGAAAGGATAATTTCATCAGGATGTGTGTGGACTTCAGGGTGCCTATTAAATCGTAATAAGTATCAAATTTTGCCTATGACAATCTCGTGAGAATGCAGTACTAAACAGTACTTGATATGTATGGCTAAAAAGGATACGGCAAAGTCAGCTTCTATATATTCATTGGCGATTTGATATTCTTTATCCATGTCAAAAGCTAGAATGTAATCCAAGGGAATACCACCATTCCCCTGTGATAAACTGTATTGGGTCAATAAAGATGAGAATTAATATGAAAATTGCATTTAATACCGAATAATACAATTATTAATGATACATAAAGCAAAGCTGATTACCGTAATGTTTTGATAAAAGAGGGTGAAAACCAAAAATATTTCTATATAAATCTTGAGATTGAATAAAAAAGCACATAAATAACCTACAAATTGAGGCCAAAAACCCGCTTTAATTCTATCATGGCCGAATGATATTCACTTTTATTTTCATTTCATATTGGCAGAGAGGTACTTATATATGTCCTGAATAATCACGTCAAATTTCAGATGATTCCAACGCTTCCTTCTATCTTAAATTAATTTTCAAAGTGACGAACCGGCTATTATTTTCCCGATAACGGCTAAATGACTATTTTGTTCAATCGTACTTGCTTTGCCAAATCATTCAGTCTCGAGTCATTTCGACCAAATTGTCAATTTTTCAAATCGTTGTAATGGCTGTAGCCATAATCATTTTCGTTTGTGCTCTGAAAATGGTCATAGCTCTGAAAATTTACAATATGATAGTAATGCATTTTGATAACTCGCAGCAATTTTCAGAACGATCAGACACCCCCTACTATGTTAAATCAATCGCTAAAGTCATGGTACTATGCCCCTATTGCTGCATCGCATCCCGGTCATTTCTGATGGTGATTTCCACATTAAACATAGCAATATAACTTAATAATGTGTGTTGATTACTCACAGCTATTTTTAGAACGACCAGACACCCCGTACTAGATCAATCGCTGCATCGCACTCCGATCACTTCCGATCGCGATATTATGTGCCTATTTCTGCCTCAGCAATGAAATGTCAAATACGAAACAGCAACAGTGACAGCAACAGTGCCGAAATTCCTTTGGTCAGAAATATATCTCAAGATTTAGATTTCATTAAATGAGTTAAATTGTTTCAGACTGAAATATTTCCACAACACGTACGAAAAAGATGAAACGTCAAATACGAAATCTGTTTTGAGACCATTGTAGCTACCAGTTTAGGCCTGGTGTTAGGCTAGTTTTTGATTACGTTTTTGTATGTAATTGACCTGATTACGTCGCTAATTTTGTGGGTACGTTGTTTTTGGAAAAGAAACGGCATGGCTGTCGGAATTTTATTTTTGATGTAAATTTGGACTTTGCTTGGATGTGTTTGTGTCAGGTTTGGTACCAAACACTTGGAAACCTACTATTACTACTACTATTACTACTACTATTACTAATATTACTATTATTACTACTTATTGGAACTGTTTGGAACTATTATTAGAATTTGTCTATGTGATGGCTGTCACGACAAAATAGATTCATGCTGTATGGTGTATTTTGAATATTATTATGGATGAAAATTATTTGTTCTAATCTACTGACTCTTTATTCCCGATTCCTGTTCGGCTGATTGATGGACCCCTCAAAAGTACTGTACAATCTGTACAACCATGTAATAGACTCTTATGTCATATATAGATTTTGCATAATTTGTAGTTCGAATTTTAAATACGGTTTCAGTTATTTATATATATAAATACATTTAGTTGATTGCAAATAAAGTTAAGATAAGTCTGGGCTCTAAATCTGAATTTATCTGGTGAAATCTTTTGTTAAATTATCAAATTGCTTTGGATTGACAAATCTGATCAAAATTTGTAGAAAATCAATAAGACAATTTTTTCAGAAGAAAGTGGTCAGAATACGGTAGATTTAGATAAATTTATACTTTAGTTTGAACTAACTTGAATTATTGACAACTTGGTTAGAAGAAAAAACATGATGATGATTTCAATATTGCAAAGAGAAAAAGCTGAAGATACAGCAAATTTACGCAAAACAGCAATTTGGCAAAATCACTCCATTACAACTCTGTGTTTTATTCAAGTTTGAGCATTATTTCATACCTTGGAATCATAAGCTTAAAAGTTGAATCAAAACCTCGGGGACAATCTTGTCTACTAACAAGGGTCACGTCTGGTGTGTAATAAACACAATAGCTATGTGGACTCTCCAAAAGGGATGACGAGTTGACAAACCCAATCGCGGAGTGGCATCAGGTGTTCCGGAAAGGTGAGCGTACCCTGCATCGACACCTGCCACAATTTTAGTGGAGTAGTTGGACGTAGACTCAAGAGTTGTTAGACCCGATTGCAGAGTGTTACTTTGTGTTCTGGAAGAGTGAGCATGCCCTGCACCGCTAGCGAAACTTACCCCGCTAGCGGCACCCGCCATTAATACATAAATAAAAAAAATAAAACTAAAAAGGGAATTTGTGTCAAAAGACAAAAATAGCGCGCATCAACACCACTCCTGCTGTTATGAACAGTCTTTTCTGCTGTTCTCTTAACGCCCCCTTTTCCATCATCTGAGGCATCTTCAGAATCTAAAAATAAACATACATATTTTATAATAATATAATAAATTTATTCTTTAACCTAGAGTTATCAAATGAAGTGAAGCTAGCTGGCTGGATGACTGGCTACTATATACGTGTACATGTTTTTTGCAGTTTGACTAAAACCCTGTATATATTCACGTATGCTCTACATCAAAATAAAAAACTGGCTAAGAAGATATTGCAACCTTCGTCTTGAAAAGTAATAATTAATCTCTTCAAAGAAAAAGGGGGTCGTGGAATTGTGTCGATTGTATCTCTTTAATATGTCGATAAGTAAACTTACTACAGTTTTTATGTATAATGTTCAATGGTGTACAATTAGTTCCATTTACATCTAAATATCCAAACTCAAAATCACCAGTACATTTAACTTTTTCAATCTTTATTGTACAGTTTGTTAAGTTTGAGTTTAATTTCTGAAATCAAACGATTCACATGAACATGTAGCCCGATAAATCTGGTCATGAATGGATGGTATATCGGCACGTTAAAGTTCGGTTCCCTTATTTTAATTTATTGATAAATGTATTCCTTTATTTATGGAAGGTGGAATGGCTTTTTATTTAACGTTCTTCATTGCTATTTCTTAATTCTTAATTCTAAATTCTTATAATTTGCACGCTTAATTCAACATTTGTTATTGAAAATTGACATTTGTATACAAAAATCATAATTTGTACCGAAAATGAACATTCTTTGATAAACATTGGGTTTTCAAATTATTGAAGTAATAGAATCTTTGCCAAAAATATCCTCAAATACAAATCTAGCTCAACATGTCTTCAAATGCGAAACGTCAAACACAAAACTCTACCAACAAATGTTCATATACAAATGTTCAATAACAAATCTCGCTCAAAAAATCTTGCAAAACATTTCTCCAAATACATGTCGAATATATTTGAAGGTCATGATTATGACGACAGGTGTCGCTGTACAACCAACATAAAATAAGATATAGACTATAGAGAGCCTCTATCATCCAGTTCAATTTTCAACGCGCTTAACATTCTGTAATTTCCTTGCTACGACTGCAATATCGTTAATTTTCATGAGTTTGAATAATTCTAAAACCAGGACTGAAGTTCATACGAGTCACAAGAAGTAGAGATAGAAGTTGTTCAAGACAGGAAAGTTAGCTAAATCCCAAGAAGAATTTCCGGTTCTTGTGTGTTTTAATAAATATTTTCCAACAACTTTGAGAATTCATTTTAATAGGGCTATGTTGATTGTCGGTTACTTTTATTTATACCTGTTAAAAGACTACACCTAGTAATCATATTAGTAAATGTAATGTTCTTTTTTAGAAAACCACACAGACTAGAGTCTACGCCTACCCTACAGCTTTGTGCCTTTGTGGGCAAATCACAATTCTACACTGAGCCTATTTTCTTCTTAAGTATTTTTATCTTGATAATAGCAGATTTTCCTGACAATTGTACTCTGTAAAAACAAGTTTCACGTTAACAATAGGCCTATCCTATATGATATAGTCATGTTTACATTTTTTTCAACCCAAAGACATTTTAACACTTACACTAGCGACTAGGTCTACAGCAGGTATATATTTTGAGGATGATATAAAAATCATCGGTAAAATGCGATATACCAATGTACTTGCAAAGACAGTAGGCTATAGTGGCCTACAATTCATCACAGAATTATTGCAAGACATTTGCATAGACTAGGCCTATGATTATTTGATGGCTGTAAATGTCACTTGCCTTGTTAATGCTATGAAAGGAACGTACAGCGACACCTGTCGTCATAATCATGACCTACAAATATATTCGACATGTATTTGGAGAAATGTTTCGCAAGATTTGTTATTGAACATTTGTATTTGAAATTTTGTTGGTAGAGTTTTGTGTTTGACGTTTTCCATTTGAAGATATGTTGAGCTACATTTGTATTTGTAGATTTGTATTTGAGGATATTTTTGGCAATAATTTTATTAATTTAATAATTGAAAAACTGAATATTTATCAAAGAATGTTCATTTTCAGTACAAATTACGATTTTTGTATACAAATGTCAAATTTCAATAACAAATATTGAATTAAGCGTGCAAATTAAGAGATAAGAATTTAGAATTAAGAATTATGAAACAGTAATGAAGAACATTGAATAAAAAACCATTCCGCCCCCATATTTATTGGACGGCTAATACTTATATAAATCGAAAGCAGAATGATTTATTCTTCTATTCCATGGTCGGTCCCGTGTATTATTATATAGACCCAAAATATATACAACAAAATTACATGACATAATGTTATAAATGTAAGAAAAACTGTGATAATAAAGTTCGGCCTTCCTTAAGTTAAGTTAAGTTAAGCAAGCTTGTCTTTGTGTGCTGCGAAAGGTCAGTGGAACTTTAGTGATTCCAAACATGAAACATGGAGCTTTAGCTAGCTTGCTGGAGAAAACCCGCACTATAGATCAACAGCGTATCAAGAAAAATACATACCCTGTCAAATAGAGTTGAGTACGTCCACTTCATACTCTTTCTACCATTACAGCATAAATGTGCTAAATATCAATAGAATGAAAGTTAACTAATATTGTTGACTTGTAAACAGTTTGTTCACAATAAAATTATGTTGAATAAAAAACTATTTAAAACCCTTTTTTGTAATATTTCAACACAATGCTGCCCATCTGCAGCTCACTGTTACTATTGTTCAAAAAACAGCTCATCTTTATCCTTTGTTTTTATGGCACTATGAATGAAATGAAAATAGTTGTACATCCATAACATCTTATTGTATTGTATTTCATTGGTACAATGGAATGAAATGAAGTTTTATGATCTAATGTCTTGTAGAACACAAGAAAAATCAACTACTGAAAGGGGAGTAACTCATTTATAATAAATATAGACTTCTAAATTTGTAAGAAAGAACAAACAAACAATAAGTCCGTTTCATTATGGACCTGAATTTTACGATCGTTGTCGTAACAGTTTAATTTTACACTGAGAAAGACTACACATACGACAAAAATCGTTCGTACAATTTCTCTTTGAAAAGTTACGAAAGCATCATAATGCCATTTTGTTTGCAAATTGTGCAAGGAATCGACAACAATTACATCATATTTGATACTTACGGTCATAGATAGAAGTTAGTCTAAAATATTTTATTTTAACATTAAGCTTGGTGTGAAAACTCATCTCGAGTTCATACACAGCTTCCATTTCTTTACTAAATGCTGGAATTATAATTGTTCTATTCGAGATGCGTACATCCTCTTTTCCTTTCCACGTGTCATCGTTCACGGAGTAATTTCCAATTTTCTGTGGAAGAGAGAATCAAAAAAGTATAGGATAGGATACAAGTGTTTTGGGAGTGGGTTTTGGACTCTGCAAAATATGAAGCTGCCCTTGAGTCATTTGTTTACTTTGGGTCATTGATCTTAATAATAATACATATATATAAATAATTATACAAATGAATCTTTTTAATGCTTTAAGAGAAACCAACAATTAAAATCATCCTCGATATCTGAAGTATTATGTATTTTATTAACGGTAGAGTTGAAGATGGAGACCATTTGGTTAAATTATTATTGAAGTATTATAAATTACATAGTGCTCACTTACAAATTGTACCTCAAAATGCTAGCCTAGGTATATTTAGAAATACTTCACCATTGATATCGTCATTATAAGAATAAAGCTTTTTTGGCCCTGGTTCCCAGCCTAGTGTTTTCACTCCCTAGGGTTTTGGAAATAGGGTGTCAGGAGTGTGGCCAACTGGTGAAGGAGAAGACTATTTTGAATTGAGAGAGCACCTAACACATGCTGGAAATGTGGATGAAACAAATTTTTTGGGGTGTGAAAGGTCCATGTGATTGTTCCAGGGATGTGAAGGCGGATAAAGGTTGGGAACCACTGTTTTATGGGGACTAAAAATGAAGAATTTGTGTTTACTGTTCTATAACCCCGTTTATCTACATTTATCACTATAATGTTTTTCAAATCTTCTGACATTAACGACTTCAAATTCCATGTTACACTGGAGTTGTGAGTTACAAAATAATCAAAATCCAGATCATAACAGAAAATTGGTATTAACGCTGAAATAATAATCATAAAGATACAATTTATGCTTCGTTGACTTCCTCTGTCAACCATTGTAAGCAAAATAGACGACGAAAAAACTTGATTTTGAGTCATAATCATCATGAGTATAGCTGCCATGTCGACACTGGAAAGAACACGAGTTGACAAAAATATAGTTCCATTCTTTGTCAACTATTAGCCGAAAATAATCCGTATAACCCTAAATAGATCGTCCTAAGTCTAACCCTGGCAATGATACATATCATTGGTAGCAGAGCGTGGTTCAAAAATATTCTTACGATGCTATGGAGAACATGAACGAAGACGATGGCACGATAAAAAACAAAGTTATACGATGTTGACTACAACTTTATTCGATCTTCACCAACCGATCACAGAACGTACACTGACCAATATGGCGCCCTGACTAAAAAGATTGCAGAGCAAGCCTCACTCTCGATCTTGACAGGGAGCCAAATTAGACAACTCTGTTTGTGGTCTAAGGCTGAGCATCAGTATCCTCCCTTTGCCACAAAACATAGAAAGCTTTCAAACAACATATAACACATTTTGTAATTAGGTTTACACGAAAAATGTGACCGAAACAACGGAAACTTGTTTACTTAATGTCTCCTAATGTTTGGAACTGTAGAATGCAACGCAGACACTTGGAGTAATGACTACTCCAAGGCAGACATAACTGATCTATCATTTTCTAAAAGTAACTATTTATCGATATCTATGTAGGCTTGATAGACAATATCTAAACAGAAATAAATCATGTTGTTACTCAGAGCTTCCCGCTATGTGATCATCAGATAACTGACCTATTTTCAAACTTGTCCAGTAAGGACGCAGACTGAAAATATATCGTTCTACAATTGATGTTTTAAGCAGTGAAAATATTGTATTATTCTATGTAGATAGATATATTTAGACCATATTACTTTATATAGGCCTATAAAATGGCGTGTACAATGGCGTCTCTATGTATCCAACAAGTCAACGACACTGTATGACAAATGACACTGTTGACTTAGTCTTTGATGTGTAAAACTAACAACAATTAGTCTACTTACCCACAACTAAAAACAGGATGAAAGTAAGTATATCCATGCTAGTTCCAATTCAACATTAGCTACCTAATACACTGGATCGATATGCAGCTGTACAGTGAATAAAACTGATAGCCTTTATGTATCCAACAAGTCAACTACACTATATGACAAATGGGGCTTTAACTTTGATGTGTAAAACTAAAACAGGATGAAAGTAAGTATACCCATGCTAGTTCCACTTCAGCATTAGCTACCTAATACACTGGATCGATATGCAGCTGTACATTGCGTAAGTTTTTGTTTTACTTGTTATAATTTTTCACATCATTGTTAGCGTTATTTATCACCTAAATATATATTTTTGCATTTTTCATCATAACTTTCATCTTACTTTATATATCCCCAAACCCAGTTTGACTTATTTGCATAATTTGATCCCCACATTTTCACGATAGCATATACAGTTTCCTGCTGTTACATCCGCTGTACACTCCCTTTCTAACCTCAAGTTATTTTCATTATGCTCCCCAGCTACAACAACCACTGGCAAGAAGCCAAACATAGAAACACTAATCGTCAACCAAACCAATATCACGTACCCTACAACGGCCCCGTCTTCCATCGACCTCTACCACCTACCAATCGCCGACCACCAACCAACCCATCCAGCTATATCCCACCCCATCGCCGACCTACCTACAACACAGCCTACCAATCAAGAGGTAACATCGACCTGACCAACAACAGAAACGACTACAAGCCCACCGACGCCAACCAGTCCCCACTCATAAGGAGGAAGAACCCTTTGTGAAGGTGCTCTTCCAAGTTTTGCAGTGCCTCCATCATTTGGCAATCCTTACCCTTCAACAGCAAGGCCAACCAGCGTTTACCTTCAAACGCAAAGTCTCTGAGTAGGATAGTTTTATCCGTCCAGCAATGAAAACATCAGCTGTCGACGCGAATATTAGATCCCTCAATCGGACCAAGTCTTTATCATCACCTGCCGTCGATCGCATCGTTTCTCATGCCCTGTCCTGGGCCCGTCGCTCCTATGGGAAACGTCTCACTCAAGCTGTAATCACCAAATTCTACCAAACAATCAACGAAACAAAAACCAGAGTAACCATATCTCTACCAACTGAAATGGACACTACACCTGCACCATCTAGAGCCACCACGCTGCCGAACCAAACCCCTAAACGAGCTCGAAGTTCACCTACTCCTAGTCCAGCAGACATAGGTAAACGCTCTCGTAGAGAGGGCACTCCCCTTCTCTTTTCACTTTCAGACTCACCACACCATCTGAATCTTCACCACGTGATCCAGGATCCGCCAACCTTTCTTCCTTCTGTGCGTTTTTGGACCAGCAAACCACCCCTCAGTCTCCATCCAAGTCGAGACGTGTATCCAGACCCCCCCCCCCCCCCTCGAACCAGATCCCAGTCCGTTCCCAATGCTACAATTCTAACAACTACCAAACCAGTACCAATTACACCGTCGACGACCATTATATCCGCTACCAAACCGTATTATCACCAAACCAAGGACAAATCATTATGGAAGCTACCTCCTCTAAAGAAATCTACCTTAATAATTGGATCATCTAACCTGAATCGAATTACCAAAACCAGTTCAGACACTGAAATACATTCTTACCCCGGTGCCCAAATCCATCACATACAGTCAATCCTGGAATCATACGACATTGATCCGAAACCTACTACCATTATTCTTCATGTAGGCCTCAACAACCGTGATCAGCTACCAAAGACCTCCTTTAACCAAGCCCAGAAATTAATCGCCACAGCCAACAAAACCTTCCCAAACTCCAAGATCCTCTTTACATGTATACCCATTTCAAATAAAATCTCGAAGAAAGCACAACAGAACCTCAGCACTCTCAACAACATGATGGAATCCAGTATCAACAGCGCAACAATCTTACCACCCTACGAAGAAGAATTCGAACCAGTTGATAATCTTCATTGGTCTCCTGAAACAGCAAACAGCATTTATTTGTTTTGGATACACCAGCTTCAAGCATCGAGTAAGTCTTTAAACTAATTACTGGGGATAAAAAATACTGAGAGGCCACCGCTAGGCCAAACTTTAGTTAACTTGAGCCGCAAAATTCTCACACCCCTTCAGCATTCAATCTTAGACCGTGGACTTAAGTTTATTCCCACACCAAAGATAGCTAACTTGAATTATCTCCGACCATCCATTGAACGATTTCAACGAAATCTTAGCTGCACATATTTTTTTCGAAACCACCCCCCACGTGGTGCTAGAACAATGTTTATTCCTAAATCCACGTGAAAACCCCCTCTGGCCGCGGGGTACGTGGGTACTCTAAACGATTTTTACGAAACATAAAAAATTCCACCTTAGCACAGATAGCAGCTAAAAACAGACTTTATGCCGAAGTACCTCCAGGTTTAAGAAACTCATTATTTTGTAAGCAACTCTACGAATAAAAGGTACCCGATCCAGGAACATCTAACATGTGAACATTCGAATGTAATATATTTAATTTCATACAAGAAATGCCCCAAACAATATGTAGGAGAAACTAAGAATAATTTACGAACTCGCTTTAATGCTCAAAGGTCAGACATCAAATTAAAGAAAGACAAGCCTGTTTCTAATCATTTCAACTTCGACGACCATTCAATAGACGATCTCACCCTAATCCCAATTGAGCGTATAGAAATTGACTTGCCCGAAGATGAAACTACCAAATTCCGTCAATCTAGGGAAGCCCATTGGATTGAGACATTGAATACAGCAAGACCTATAGGACTAAATATTTATCATAATGTAGGCATAGCACCCTTTGTTGTCCCGTTTAATACAACCAGCAATCGAGCAAGCAAGATAGTTCATGCCCACTATAAGAGCCTTCAAGAGAAATTCCCCCATGTCTATAAGCAGAAATGATAGTTGCATATTCAAAAAATAAGAACTTAAATGATAATATTGTTCATAGTAAACTAAAAACAATCAGTACATAACAGATACTATACTTCTTGCCCATCGGGCGAGTTATTTTTTCTAATTTCAGATCAGAACAAGAACAGAAGAAAACCCAATATCAAGACCCTTGATCCTAATTTCTAAATAAAGTGTCTGCTCCACCCTAGGCCTGTACATTTGGGAGAATCAAACCCTCCCTTCCCCGAAATTTAATAACTTTAATAACTTTATTTTGGCAACCCATTTAGACAGAAGTCTAATTTTAAATAGGTCCCACTAAACTACAAATTATATACACGATTACAGAAAGAATAAAATCACAGAAAATAGCATAAAACATATATACATTTACAATGTAACATGAATGAGGAAAGAAATATGAAAATGTAACCACTATGTTTCCCCACAAAACTACGAATTATATACTAAGTATATAATAAAAACACAGAAAGTTTCATAGAGCATTTACAATGCATCAAGGATGTGGTGAAAAATATAAAAAATCTAAACACTTTGTTTCTTACTTTACATGATGGTGGAACATTTTTTTAAGTAAAATGAAATGGTGAGAAAAACAAAAGGAATGGTTATAAATGCTATGGAATCAATTAATCAGTATTGTCAGTAAGAACAAATTTCTTCAGTTCTTGTTTAAATGTATATAAAGAAGGATTATGTTTTACAGTTTGTGGTAATGAATTCCAAAGTAAAGAAGCTGTATATTGAAATGTTCTCATCATAGCATATTACATTTCGGTATGTCTAAAGTTCGGAGTGTTTCTGATCTCAGTGTCATACTGGTTTCCGTTAATTTTGATCTTTCCGTAAATTTATTGTATAAATATTCAGGGTGTCCAGTTTGAAATACAAGTTTTAATATTTTGTTATAGTGTGAATTGTTTTACGTACATATTTTCTATTAATTGTGTTTTGTTGCGTAGTACTAGTAATTGTGTTTCACGTGAATTCAGTAAACGTTTTCCTTTCTATTATCAATGACGATACATGTTTGTGATTTACTTCCAAAAAACTAATCATTTATGTGATTTCCTCTCCAATCTCATATCTACGGAGCCCCTTAGGCACAATTTTCAAAACTCTTTAAATTATTTCGTTTTAGATTCCCTTATTTTCAATTTGAAAATGAAAATGCTAAGACTTATATGAATAGAAAGTAGAGGTGTTCTAATGACTTGGAAAAATACCAGTTTGTCTCACATGTCCATAATTAATTCATAATTAGCTAAATTAGAAGATAATTACCAGCAGAATTCCAATGAGTGACCGATCAATAAAGGTCAAAAAGCCTTGTTTTGTTTATCCCGACTGTACATACATGGACATTTATGATTGGTTAAAACTCTTAATATATTCAATAAGAACATAATGATATGATTAAGAATACATGATAATTCACTAGAAACACCAATAGCTTGCTTAATTTGACACTAAAAAATAAGGAAACCCATCTTTAACGAATTATTTATAAATACTAAATAAGTAATTCGTTTAAACGAAATAGTATAATATATTTCATTTTAACAATATGAGTGATATTGGTGTAACAAACGGACTGTCGGCCTTGTTGATGGATTTCATACAATTTACCTTTCACATACATGGTCTTGTTGAAGCATAGAGTCACTAGAGTTGGTTTCCTACAACTCACAATTCCAACTTTTCCTGACTTGGGTGTAAAATGTAGTCGCATTAACCTAATGTGAATAGTTGTGCCCACGTGTAGCACATCTGATTCATTTTTGATCTCGGGACCTTGGTGCCTACCAATATAGGTTTTGTCATTGTCCTGTATCGGGAACAAAAAAAACAGGCACTCTTATGCTGGTAGATTAAGACAGCTAATTGTGCGTTCAGACGACTTAAGTTAAGGCAGCTTAACAATCAACCTTTCTTCGACCCCGGTTTACTGTTTTTGGTGAGCATTCAGTCAGATGGACATAAAGGTAAAGCCAGCTTTTACATTACCAGGGAAATCATTAGGAAGTTCAGAGATCATAATACCACTTCGCATGTACAATAATGGCGGAAATTTGTTTAGAGGAATACTCAGACATGAAATGAAATATCTGGCTTAACTATTCAAGCCAGGTTTGAAGCCACTTACGAAGCAGGCGCAAGTTTCGGCAGCTGAAGCTTAACCGGTTGCGTTCAGAC